AAAATCCATCAAAAATTATTAGAAAAAAAGTCAATTACGCATCAGTGGAAAATCATCGAAATGCCTATTTACATATGTATGCATATGGGGCGTTCCATACCAAAATGGACGGAGTTCACAATTCATGTGTTTGATTTGTTTCAAATTTTTAGGGTTGATGGATAAACATAAATAATAAATAAATATGAAATTTGAGCTTCATTAATATATTTTTAAAAACAAACAAAACCAAATCGATTTAATAGTTTTCCAAATATCTGGAGAACGGGGTGAGGGAAAAATTTGGAAAAAATCACACATACACAGATCCAAATTCTCTATGAAAAAAATATTTTTTAAATTTTTTTCGTGAAAAATTTCTCACATAAAAAATTTTTTTATAAAAAAAATAGTTTTTGAAAATATGCCATCTCACAAACAAAATTTAAAAAAATCACAAAGGTAGCTCTGAGAATCGCGCAATACTTAAGTATAGTATTATAGGGTGCACTCTACAATAACTTGAGGTATGAATTTTTTTTAAACCGGAGTTGAGTAAAATGAGTACATTACGAATTTACAAATTTTTTGCAGTTTTGCAGTAGCTTAAACTTGCACTTTATTATATTAAAATTTAATGGGCTACAAAACTGCATACTCAAGAAAATTCTAAAAAAATTTATAAAATTTGTAAATTCGTAATGTACTAATTTTATTCATTTTCGGTGTAAAAAAAAAAATCATAACTCCAATAATTCTAGAGTGTACCCCAAAATACTATACTTAAATATTGCGTATACGTATTGTGATTTTTTTCAATTTTTTTTTGATTGAAAGATAATTAAGAAAGCATTTTTTTTTTTATTTTTTTTTTTTTTTTTTTTTTTTTTTTGTTTTGGTAACTTCTCTTCTCACTATTCTTTAGACTCGTAATTCACTTCCAATTTTCAATTATTTTCTTTTTGTTAAAATTGCCAGCATTAACCCGTCAGGGAAGGATGTCGTTCGTCTGCTGCACATCACATCTTCCGTTTGAGCTACTTAAAAGTTTTGGGCGTGGAAAAAGATAAGTACTTTTTTGTAATCATTAATCTAGATATAAATTCTGCTACATCAGTCTGTCTTTTATCCATATTACGAAAGAATATATGTATGTACATATGTATGGATATGTACATAAATTCATGTGCACACATTAGTCTGCTTACTTTCCGCTTGTGAATGGCACGCCGCTTATGTGATAGGAAGCTGTAGAGAAAATCTGATTTTTAAACTGTCAATCAATCACTGTTTGATGGATTTGGAGTTGGTAATTTTATTTTTCTTTTGCAAACTGTAGCCTTTTTTAATTTTTTTGAAGTCGAAAATCAGCTCAGTAGGCTTTTATAATTTAGTTAATGGAAACATATACATATGTATCTATGTATGAATGTGTATATGTGTGCTTTTGTAGTAGACCATCTTATAAAATATTTTCAGCAACAATATGTTTGCGCAACAAGCTTTTATAAATATTTGCCTGAAGCATTAATTTCGTAATTTAAAGATGTTTAAAGCTGGATGGAATTGGGCCTATCAATTCTTCTTTCGTTTGTGTGTCGTTTTGCGCTTTATAACTAATTTTATACAAGAACCAGCATTGAATGAAAGTTGTGATAAAAAAAAATAATCAATTTCTATATCTAAATTATTGAGATAATTATGTTGGTTTGTTGAAGAGTGCTCTCAGAGAGCAGGTGTAGGAGTAGAGTAGCGAATAAATAAGCGGTCTGTTGTGATTGCATCAATTCGACGTTAAGCTTTCCTTCTTGCATTATTGCGAGTATACGTACGTCGAAAACCCTGGAAGCATGCATTCCGTCTATCAAAACATGGTCGATCTGGTTTCTCGTTATTCGATCTGGAGACATCCATTTAGCTTGGTGGATCTTTTAATGCTGGAACCTAATACTACGTTATTTATGTTTCGGGTCCGGCGAACTCGTTATCGGTCGCTTCGTCGTCGCGGCGGAATTTTCCGACAGTGGCGCCAAAGATCGCCGAGCACGGTTTTGATATCTAGTCGGGTGCGAGATGTTGAAGAATCTAGCTTTGATTCGGATTGTGGCTAGACGCAAGTCCACCGGGGTGAACGACAGTACTCGGCGACGGAGTCTCTCTCCCACCAAAAGCCAACACCGAATTTGCGCTCCTTTACGTGGCAACTGTAGTAGATGTGGCAAGGCTCCACGCTTACCTTGACTTGCCCCGCCCATCGCATTTCTTGGATGGCGATGATGTCGGCCTTTGTCTGCCCGAGGACAATAGATAAGTAAACTTCCCAAAAATGGCTGAGATAATATGGGTCTTTGCATCTGCCTTGTGGAATACTAACTGAATGAATTGATCAAAATTAGATTGCGTTTTCCCACAAAAAATTTGAAATTTTGAAATAATTATGTATGTTATTAGCCGTGCGATATGTACATATCGTCGTTTAAAGTGAAAAACCGCGTATCAGCAAAATGCAAAACCGCGTATCAACAAAATGCAAAACCGCGTATGTGAAGTTGTAGAAATTATTTTCTAGAGCGTACAAACACTCATATTTCAAAATGGTTCTCTTTTTTATAAAGCAATCGCATTTCTGGATAGTATATTTCAGGACGAATGGATAAGGATTGAGCCAAGAGCTTGTGTGAGCAAATCCATTTTTTGGCAGCCAAAGTCAGTTACGCGGTTTTGCAGAATGACGATACGCGATTTTGTACTTTAAACGACGATATGTATATGAACAAACAACTATTCACCTTATTTGACTCCAATAACCGCAAAGGTGATATAGCCATAAATTGCATCTAGGTAATCATTAATCATCGATTAGGATGAAATGCCATACAACAATATAGCAACGCAGCAATTTTACTTGTATTGTTCGAAACAAGCGCATGCATCTGTATTCAGGTTAGATATGAAATTAACCCTTAACAACGCACAAGTGTCTCGCGGACACATTTTTAAGTTCGTTTGCATATAAAACCCAAAGTACTAATTTTTTCGAAAACCATTTTATCTAATCTATCAACAAGCTCAAAGCGATTATGTTGAAGTACCATATTATACCACCATATTTTTTGCAATCACAAAGCCTTTGGTTTCTACAAAAAATGCCTTAGATTTATTAAAGTGTGTCCACGGGACACTACTGGCCAGATACGTTACAAAAGGTTACTGGGTTGTTAAGGGTTAATTGCACTTACTTGCTTAGCTTTGCAGGTATTGCGCATTTGGATTGAGAACAACGGTTAAAGCCTAAGTGTTTCTGATTAATTACCATACATACATACATATATGATAAATATGATATATCTTATAATAGAGATGTTGCCTAGTATCAATGCTGGTTTGCTACATATACGTACATACATATATATGTGTGTATTTTTATGTGAAAATCGCTTTGTGTGGCCCTATTTGAAATCGATATTTGTCTGCGGTTGCAGATGTGGCGCCTCTAATTGGATGCTCTAATTAATTTGTAGTTTAATAAACACATGTGTGTCGAAAATATTTATACTAAGTTACCTCTTAAATAACTTTGTTGTTTTGCAGAAAAAAGTTTTCGACAGTTTTTGCGCTTGAAGGTAATACCCCGTGTTTAAAACATTTACCCTCTCTAATAAAACCGATCTACGCATAATTCTTGGTTTTCCTTTTTCAGAGCAAACTTTTTTTCAATATCTTTCAAGCAGAAGTGCATATTTTTATGTTATCTAGCATTTATGACTGCTGCAGTATCGAACTCTCTTTATGTACATATTTAGTATACAAGCGCCCTCGTACAAGTACACACGCCTACATAAAATCTGTATTTGCTATAAATCTTATTGAACTTTTCCCTTAATCAAATATACATAGCGTGGCGGCATTTTAACTTTGATTTAACAACCACCATTATTGCATCGCTTTTAGCCCCCACGCTTCCTTCTCTATTTTTTTTAGCGATATTTTATATCGATGGTTTTAAGTTTCAACGTCGCATAACTGATGACTGTGTCTATAACGGTGCATTTATTGGAGCATAACATTTTATATATAAGTGTTATTGGCTGAGTTGTCAATGGCGGCGCCACAGTTGCGAACGACTATAACGATAACGATGGCGAGATGACGATGACGATGTTGAGATAAACGCAAGGTGTATATAGAATAGGGTGGTCCAAAAGTGCATGTGAAAAAGTCAGGTCGGAATTTTAATGCTCTCACTCCCTAGGATTGTTCTATATCGAAAAAAGTATACCCCTATTTTCTTATTTTGAAATCAAAAAATATTTAGAGGTCGCTCAAGGCGCTCAAAATTTTCCATGTATTCTGATATGGAGAAAAAATCACTTTTCGTACAAATGGTATAGAATTCTTAACAATCAATATTTTTCGAACGAAAAGCTCTTGTGCTTTGCAAGAGATTCCCAACAATAATACTCGACTGTTTATTCAACCATTTTTTTTATCGCAACTATAATTTATAGGTCCGCCAAAAACCCCGAAAAATGCAATGGAGTGACCAATAAAAAATCGTTTGTATTAAAAAATTTTGAAATAAACATTTGGGTATTATTATTGAAAATCTCCTCAAGAAAACCAGAGCTTTTTGATCAAAAATATTGATTTTCAAGAATACTACACCATTTCTACAAAAAGTTGTTTTTTCTTCCCATATAAAAATATGTACATGGAAAACTTTGAGCGTTTTGAGCGACCTCTAAATATTTTTTGATTTCAAAAAAAAAAACAAATAGTAGTATACTTTTTTTCGATATAGAACAATCCTGGGGAGTGAGAACATTACAATTCTGACGTTACTCTGTTTGGGCCACCCTAATGTACAATGGGAAAATATTTAAGAAGATTTCATTTGATACGACATGCTTTTACTATTTGAAATGAATATTTTCTTTGTATCTGTATTACTGTTTTATGACACACGTGTATATGTGTTTACATACTTCAAAAGATATTCAGCGGGAGAAAAATAGACTCACCATATTGAATTATCCTCCATAAATCTTAAAGTAGAAATTACATACCTGAAAAGAGAGTAAATAAATCGTTAGTTAAATAAAATTTAAGAATTTAAACTTAAGTACAGCTAGTTTTTTAAACCTTTAAAGAGGAAGACTCAATTCAAAAAGAATAGTGACCACAGCAGATTTTAAGAAAATAAATTTATTATAACACTATGGAACAAAAATGAACTTAACAACAACCTTAGAATACGCATATATCAGGTTTGATAGCTGTTAGCCATACGAACAATGCCTCATACTCAGGTTTGCTAGATCAATCCGTGTTGTCGAGAAAAAAGTTTTCATGATCCAAAAATCTCAGTTAAGCGTCCAAATTTTTCTTCTCCAAATTTTGAAAATTCATCATTCTGCTCTATTCACTTTTTCATTGCTGAAATGCAAAGAAATCCGTAACTAACAATCCGTTGTTTTGCGCAAAAGGATGCCGGGTGGCTTGTAATTTGAAGAAATGCCCCATAATCAATCACAAAGTTAATTTTGAAATTTTGTATAGTTATGACCTTTTGCATATCAGGTAAGATTTGACAAATCTTTGGTGTGGAGTTTTGTAGTCCATTCAATTTTATTATAATAAAATGCGAGTTTTATGTGGCTAGAAAATACCGTTGATTTTTGACAATTTTTTTTTTGTTGACGATACTAGGCGTTGTCGAGCACACTTTGTTGGTACCGTCAGCAAAAAAAAATCTTAAAAATCAACGATATTTTGTAGCCAAATGAAACTTGCACTTTATACTAAAATTTAATTTGCAACAAAACTCCGTACCAAAAATGTTTTTAAAAATTCTGAATAAAAAGTTTGACAATTTGCTAAAAATTTGTCGAATTTTTATAATTTGTATACAAAGATTGAAAAGTGAATTTATATGGTGTTTGTTGTATAACTAGCCAGGCCTTTATAAAAAAATATTAAACATAAAATAAACCAAAGGACTATAGAAAGTAAGGCGAATCTATTATATCTGCCGCCACTATATATAGATATATATGTATATCATTTTAGAAAATTCAGCAAAAATTGGGAGAAGAAAAATTCAGACCTTTACAAATTCTTTACGATTTCTCTACTATGCAGATTACTCTGAAAATATTGCTTGCAAGGTACATGCGATCAAATGTATTTACAAATGTATTTCTGTTCTCAGAATTTTATATTTAAAAGCTTCATACTTCAAGTGATGCGTACGTTGGGCTTGAGTCTGGATAAGTAGGATTTAACTTTGCTACAGTATCCACACCTTAGTTGCGCAAATGTTACGCGGTTCCCTCGTAAGGTGGTGATTGAACACCGATGTCTAGCGGTGCTCTCTTGGCTTGTCTGTAGGTCTGGATGTCGTCTGTGAGTTCATATAACTGCCTTCTGAGGTGCATAAGAAGTTTCCCTGCTTTCCGGCAGTGCCAGTGTGGAAGTTCGCCGTTCGCCCACGAGCTGCCGTCGAGAGACTAAGGCCACCATCGGGTTGCTAACCGTCGGTATTGCCGTCGGTATTGGTCTGTCATCGGCGTGGACGACTAATCCTTCTTTCAACCCTTTAACATCGGAGAGGTACCCGTTTACTTTTAAACTCAGGTTATCAGTGTCATTTTAGGACGCCAGTATCGAGTAATAATCGTCAAGTTAAGAGATAAGTGAAACTGTCCTTGTAGCTGAGGACGTCAACCACCGTTTTTCTATTCTGTTTTGGCGCCTTCTGCTCACACGATGCTTGGACACCGAAGGATACAGTGAGAATTCTATTCCATTATCGCACTTCTTCGGATTGCATAGAGAGTAGTATGTGGCCGTGTTTCTTATTTTCCGGTTACTGTTTTTAATATGGATTTACGGTCATAACCAAATAAATACTTCACACTTTTCTCTCTTTTCATTGAAGTTTTAGCTATTCTTTGGCCACAAGCAGCACTCGCTAGAGTAAAACATTCCTCATAAAAAAAAACATTTATTATGAAGCTGTTCAACTTTAATTCATCAAGAATTTTGAAAGTTCAAAATATTTTTTTTTTTTTACGTGTGTAAATAAGTGTCAATTAAATGTTCCGCAACTTCTTATAATTTAAATAATTTCAAAAATTTTCTATAAAAATTGCTATTTAATTTTCTCTCAAAAATCCCTCGATTAAAATCAAATAAATTAGCTTAACTCGCTCTCTTCACTTACAAGAGTTAAAAAAATATTCAAAAGTGCATTAGAAGGGGAAAATTGTATGTAAAAAGCGAAAATATATCCGTGGTTTCCTGTAAATTTTAATTAAATTTACAAATTTTTATTTTTTCTATGAAAGCTTTTACTTTTGCATACTAAGTTCCTTTTGTAGTTGTAGTTTATATTTTATTTTAATTTATTTAATTTTGTTTTGTTTTATTTTATTGTATTTGTATGTACATGCATGTACATGCACGTTTTTGTTTTCGCAAAAATTTTCAAAACGATTCAATACCGTTTAATTGCAGTTACACTTGTATGGATGAATGTGTGCAGTCCTTTGTTTTATTTTTTGTACTCTGCCTATTTTTTATTTTGGCTCAATTTAGCTAATCGACAGATAAAGCTTTTTGGCGCCGAAATTCACCAAGAGTAAATTAAGTGAATTTAAAACTAAAAAGCATTGCGAATATTTGGCGCCGCCGCACCTACGCCAGAACGATGACATAGTAGAAGCAACGCGGCCACACACTTACCTACTGTTTCAAACCCAAAAAAAAATTTACTGTTTTTTTTTTTTTATCTCACCAGCGCTTCAGCAGCCGTGAATTGCCATCTGAATATAACTATTTTTTTCCCATTTATTTCACTGTGCTTTTTTCCACAACTTAAATATTACTCGTATTATTTATTTCTTGCTGTGACAACTGCATAATAAATTATCGATTACGCCTTAGCTGTCCAATTTTTTAATACCTTTTAAGCAATAAAATACTGGCATATGAATTTGTAGCCGACCGTGAACACTTTCTTTTTTTTTGTTGTTGTTTCAACTACATCTAAGTGTTGCCATTAAAAATTTTCACTGCATAAAAGTAATTAAAAATTGTATCAACTAAATATAAAAGGGTTATTTTTCATTTGGCGCTCACTGCATAAAATGTGTAAAGTAATGCTGGAAAAGCCCTTAAGCCCTCGGTGTTAAGCGTATTAAATGCAATTATTTCATATTATATGCATTAAGTAAAATTTTTTCACATGCTATTTTCATTTGCCAATAAATGTTTGATATATTTCATAAAAGCAAATGATATCATGTTACTACTTTTTATATACCCATACGAACACATAGTACATGTGTACATACATATGTGTAGCTTATTTGATATAGCACTACTGAAAGTGCAACTTTAATTTAATATGGAAAGCTTGGAGTTTTTAAAGTAGTAAAAGTTAGTAAAGCATCTTTAATAAAAATATATAGTTTTATTACTTTGTTAACTGAATTTAATGAAACTGCAGTTAAGAACGCATTTTAAATAAATATTTTTAGTTTTTCAAGCCCTTAAAAGCTTATTTTTGTAACCGAGCTCACTTGTGCGCAAGGGATTATAACTCTGTTCGCATAACGGTTCGTATACGAGCAAATGTCACAAGTTGTTTTTTTAGTGTCACTCCCTTATCGATCAATGGGGTTCCAGAAACAAGCAAAATAAATCAAGAAGAAATTACTCATTTTTTCATTGTCACCTGAAAAAGTCATATTTTTTTTAAATAACTTTGGGAAGCTTTTAGATAGAATGCTCATATTCGAGACAATGAAATCTGCTATGTATTTTGTAAACCTTGTCCCTAAAAGATAAGAGAATTTTTCTTCAGCTTAGAAAGGATTTGGGGACTCTATCTAGGTTTTTGCACAAAACCTACATAAAATCGATGGAGTCTAAAATCAAAAGTAACTCTAAGTCTTTCTGGATATTTTATACCTCCAAACGCAAAATGAACGGCATCCCCAAATCGATGCAATATAAAGGATCTATTTCAACCTGTACCTTAGACTCATCCAACTTGTTTGCGACCTTTTTTGGTCACGCATATGATAGCTTTAAAATTGCTGAAATTTGCTCCAAATTATTTCAATTACAGCAGGTAGTTAAAATAGGAAAAATTTCGGTATCGGAAACAGAGGTTTTTGAGGGCCTATTGGAGTTAGATGCCTCAAAAGGAGCAGGTTACGATCTCCTGCCACCTTGCTTTTTTAAAAACTGCGCAAACACAGTGCTCATACCTTTGACTCTAATTTTTAATAAAAGCCTTGACTCAGGTACTTTCTTAGATGGGTGGAAAATTGCTTTCATTGCACCTATTTCTAAACCGGGCTTGAGGAATCTGGTAGAAAATTATTGACCAATCGCTAAACTCTCAATAATTCCAAAATTACTAGACAAACTAGTTAATAAATGGTTTCTATCTTAGAAGGTCTACATGTACCAACCTCGCTATTTTTTCAAATTTCGCTTTGGACGCAATAGAGAATGGATCTCAAGTGGATGTTCTCTACAGGGACTTCACTAAGGCTTTCGACAGCTTAGACCATGACCTACTTATCGAAAAATTGGAGATGCTGGGAGTTCATACCATCGTTTTAACTTGGCTTTAGTTCTACTTGAAGAGCAGGAAGTTAATCGTCAAAGCTGGTGACAGTCTGTCTCGGTCAATTTCAGTTACTTCTGGTGTACCCCAAGGTAGCCATATGGGCTCATTACTCTTCACTATCTTTATCAATGATGTCGTTAAGGTCTTCAAACTTAGTGAATGTTTACTTTACGCCGACGATTCCAAGCTTTATCATCCTATTAAGCTCCCTGAAGACTGCGTAGCTCTATAGAATGATATTAACTCCCTCATATTATGGTGTAAATGTTAGGGATTAATGCTAAATATCCGAAAATGTAATCTCATAACCTTCTCGCAGTCGGCTTGCCCGATAACACTTAATTACGTGTACGGCACAGATACTAGCCTCGAGCGTGTTACCACTGCCAAAGACTTAGGAGTTTAACTCGACATCAAGTTTA